ATACTCTTTATTTCTTCATTGAGTACTATGGCATAAAGCCTCCCATGATTGCCATTAGCAGCGTTACTGGTTACTTCTATATTCCCTCAAGAATATGCCTGTGAATTTGTGATACAATAAGAAATAATACATTTGGTTTTTATTCTGGTTCCTTTCACAGAGCTTCTAAAACCCTTGGAATTTCCTGAGTGACGGGGGTAAGAAGAGTATCTTTTGTTATCCATAATAAGCCCCTTCCAGCTGGACCTGAGTTTATGCTAATGAGGTGACTCTTGGATGATGGAGGCTGACTGCCAGAGAAACCAACCACATAATTAGTGGGTTGGGATTTTCAGCTCCATCCCTCAACCTCCGAGTATGAATGGCCAATGGTTTAATCAATCACGCCTACCTAATGAAGCTCCATAAAAACCCCTAAACAATGGGATTTGGAGAGCTTCCAGGTTAGCAAACACAAGGAGGTACTAGGAGGGTGGTGCACCTGGAGATGTCATGAAAGCGCTGCACTCCTCCCCTATGCCTTACCCTATGAGTCTCTCCCATTTAGCTTGCCCCATATATCCTTTATAATAAACCAGTAATAGTAAATAAGAGAGTTTTCCTGAGTTCTGTGAGCTATTCTAGAAAATTATCAAACCTCAAGAGGGGATTGTGGGAACCCTCAACTTACAGCCATTTGGTCAGAAGTTACAGGTCACAACCTGGGACTTGCAACTGGGGACTGAAGTCGGGGGCAGTCTTTAGGGACTAAGCCCTTAAACTGGAGGAGCCTGTGCTAACTCCAGGTAGTTAGTGTCAGAATTGAGTAAAATTCGCCAGACATAATGGCTCACACCTGTAATATCAGCACTTTGGAAGCCAAGGAAGGAGAATCATTTGAACTTAGGAGTTCGAGACCAGCCTGAGCAACTTTGTCAGGTGTGGTGAGGTGCACCTGTAGTCCCAGCTACTTAGGAGGCTGAGGTTGGGGGGATTGCTTAAGCCTGGAAGATGGAGGCTGCAGTGAGCTACGATCACACCACTGCACTCCAGCCCAGGCAACAGAGCAAGACCTTGTCTCAATAAAAAATATTTTAAAATTAAAATTTAAAAAAGAATTTAGTTAAATTGTAGGACATCCAGTTGGTGTCCAGAGAATTGGAGAATTGCTCAGTGTAGAAAATCCACATATCTGGTCTCAGAAGTGTATAAACAAAAAGTTTTTCCTTGTATTCATGCCTATATATTCATATGACATCCATATAATTCTTTCTCGCACAATTGTTTACATATCTGATTCTCTTACTAGACTGTACTTTTATTCATATTTGCATCCTTGATTCCTTGCTCAGTACCTGGCAAACGTTAAGTGCTCTATAAATATTTGCTGTATGTCTGACTAAATAAACAAGTACCACATATGGCCTCAGATAAGAAATGAGGAACTAATAGAACACACAGTTTTTTTGAGAAATAGTTTATGAACAAATATAATTCCTACTAATTGGGTGAGGGAGATATTCATTCATTCATACTGCAGGTATTTATTGAGTAACTACTATGTGCCAGGCACTGTTCTAAGCACTGGAAAACAAAAGAGATAAAAATACCTGCAGGGAAAGAAAGAAAATAAAATAAATAAGTTACATAGCATACTTGAAGGTCAGAGGTGCTATGTAGAAAAGTAAAGAAAGAAAGAGGATTGGGAATGCAATGGCAGGAGCTGGGATGGACATTTAGAAAAGGTAGTCCAAGAAAGCCTCACTGGGGTGGCATTTGAGCATTTTTTTTTTTTTTGACCAAAAAAAATTAATGTTTTTTAATCACTTTTTTTTAACTTTTAAGTTCGGGGGTACATGGTATTTGAGCTTAACACCTGACAGAAAGAATCTCTGAGGGAAGGGCATTGCCGGCAGTGGGAATAAAAGTGAAGACCATGAAGTGCTAGCAGGCTTAGAGTGTTTGAGGAAGAGCACACAGGCCAATGTGACAGGCTAACAATAACATTTTTGATCCACAAGATAGGCAAATATTTTTAAAACACAATATCCAATGTTAGGAAACATGAGAAAATGGATACTCCTCTCTCCTGCTAGTGGGAATGTAAACAGATACAGTCTTTTTGGAAGGCAGTTTGGCAAAATCTATCACAATTTCAGATAATCTTAACCTCTAGTTCTAGTCTAGATTCTATCATACACATACAGACACATAGATATATGGAAATACATTTTATGCACACATATCAATAAATAACTGGAAATACCCTAGCTGCCTATCAACAGATGGTTAAATAAATTACAGCAGCAGTTGTGCAAATGTGCACTGGGGTTTTAAGCAGTCCAAGGAACTCTGGGCATCCTAAAAGTCTTTCAAAGTCAGCAAAGTTCTCCCTTTTCCAACTACATACCTATGTGAGTCTAAATTTTCTTCATTTATTTCAACCCAACAATATAACAGATTACATGAAAAAACAGGTAAGAGAATCCTGCCAGATTCTGTTAAGTCGGACATCAAAGATTTTTACGAAACTATTGATTTGACCTAAAGAAGCAACAATAGGTCTCAAGTATCCCCATGTGTTTTAGAAACCTGAAGTCAGTGAGATAAAATCCAACATTAAGAATTTAAAGGAAAGTAACCTGTGGGGAAAGAATGTAAAGAAAATACTGGGTAGTCTGGCTAGAGCATAATAATAATTAATTTGGTTTTCTGGTTTTCAAAATTTTGGATTGTAATAAGAGGAGATTTCAATATGCTATTTCAATTTTTAGTAGCAAATAAACGTGTATTTAGAGAAAAACTAAAACTGATGTATTTGAGTTCCCTCCCCCCCAGAAAAAAGAATTTTACAAAACTATAAAGTACTACCACTCTTCTGTATCTCACTAAATTTTTGGAGGTTTGGGAGATATAATTATTCTTCATTAACATGTTATTTATGTTAACACGTAAAGTAATGGTTTATGGTTCATTATTTTTAAACGAAAAATTTTCTAATTTTATTTTTAAAGTTTTAATTTCTCACATAATAAATGCCAGTATACATAAACCACAAAATCAAAAATTATTTGGGATCCTTGGTAACTTTTAAAGCTACAAAGGGGTTCCCAAGACCTAAAGTTTGAGAACTGCTAAATAATGGCACATTTATACTACAAAAAAACTATGTAGTATTAAAAGAGAATAACGTATTCACATATTTTAAAGAAAGCACAATTTGTATATAATTCTTTCACGTAAAACCAAAATTTTTAAACTAAATACATATAAACACAAAGACACAACACGAATGTGGGTATAGATGTTTATATACTCTATATGAAATGTTCTTCCTGTATCTTACCTAAATAATTCCTAATCTTCTTTTAGATCTTAAGTCAATCACTTCTTTCTCAGAGAAACCTTGCCTTACTTCCCTAACTAGGTCAAGTGACCCCATTATATGGGCTTATGATATCATGTACCTTTCCTTCATGGCACCTTATGTTACAATTTTGCATTTATTTGTGTAATCATTTTGATTAGTATATGTCACCTATATTAGATTACAAATGTCATGAGAGCAGGGGGTTGATTATATTATTTTCTCAAATTTCCTGTATATTTGAAAATCTTCATAACAAAATGTTTTTTTAAAAAAAGATTATTCAACTTTAACTCCTTTCAATTCTCAACCAATTTTAATATAGACTTCTTCATGCCTAATCCTACTAAATCTGCTTTCCAAGATTACAAGTGATCTGATAATTGCCAAATTCAGCTTTCTGTGTCTCCCAAGCTCTCAGCAGCATGTGATACCACTGCCCAAGACCTGCTTGAAACTCTTTTTACTTTGGCTTCAAAAAGCTACTTTCTTTCAGTTCTTCCCCTAATTTGCTGTGATTCTCTAATTTCTTTTCCCAAGGCTATCTACTATTCATACTGGTGTCCCGCAGATTCTTCTTACTTTCCTTCCTCTACTTGTTCTCCTTGGATAATCCCATCTACTCCACTAACATTATCTGTCTGTCAGTCTATCTACCTATTTATAATGTTAATTCTCAATATCTAGTCAGTGCCACAAACTTACTATACTTAAAAACTATTGTCTTTCTTCATAAAACTGTCTGTCTGTCTATGTTTTCTTCCTCAGATGACAGCACCACCATTCAGTCCCTCAAGATAGAAATTTTTGAATTATCCTTAACTTCCCTCTTTTCTTTCTCATGTCCCACATTATACCAGTTAACAAATCCCACAAAATCTACATAAGAGAGGTACCCTAAGATTGCCCATCCTTTTTATAACCATAGTATAAGTTCAGACTCTCATTTATTACCTGAAATACCTCAATAGTCTTCTAATGCTTTCTCTGCCAATAGTCTCTCCTCACTCCAGTCTATACTCAATACAACCCTCAAAATCCTCTTCCTAATATGCAAAGCTGATTATGTTACCCTCCACCTAAAATCTAGGGGTGCCTCATTGTACACAGCAGCACCTATACCTCTAGTCATACATCTAGCCTCATGCAGACTCCCCACATATACAAGATACACTGAACTTTTTATTTTTTTATGATCATGTCATACCATTTCATAACTGTGCCTTTAAACATGCTGTTCCCTTTGCCTGGCATGCCCTCATCATACTTTGCACATGGCAAACTGATATCACAGTTCAATGTTCAGCTTCCTTCGTAGGTATCTCCCTTATAACTCAGTCGCTCAACAAAAAACTTATCGAGTACCCATCAATACGACAAGAACCTTCACCTCAAGGAACTCGTACTCTGTATTATGTTAGGACTCATTAACCCTGCTATTATTACGTTCATCACATTATACCATAGTCATCCTTCTACTTGTCTCTCCTCCCAGCTGGATCATGAGATCTTTGAAGGCATGGCTCCTGTCTCATTACTCTTTACACATCTTGAAAAACAAATCATTTTTTCTCTAGTTTATGATGAAAGCTAAAGAATAATGAGAATTTAAGTTTTTAGCATTAGTATCCAAAACAAATATCTATTCACTTACCTCATAGGTCCATAGTTCAGTATTATAAATGCCAATACTATCATCACACAGACAGCTCTTCGCTTTGGACTAGGGACTTTAAGCCTCTGGTTCTAAAGGAAATGACCACATTAAATACAATTAAACTACACATCAATTTCAGAAAAAGCAACACTTAAGATTAGAATTTTCCTCTTTACCAGTTACGTAAATACCTTGTCTTATAAATACCTTGTCTTATTTTTTTTTTAAAAATCAAAGGTGTGTAAATAATACTTTTCAAGACTAGAGCAGAGACTTCCAAGTTCCCTTTTCTAGCAGGGAGAGAAAAGGAGAGAAGCAGAAGAGAAAAAAAACACAGCAGCCACTCCATTGCAATTGCCTCTTCACCCAAGAGGAAAGAATTCAATATATATCTGTATATATATTTTTTTGAGATGGAGTGTCACTTTGTCGCCAGGCTGGAGTGCAGTGGCGCCATCTCGGCTCCCGGCGATCTCCGCCTCCAGGGTTCCAGCGATTCTGCTTCCTCAGCCTCCCAAGTAGCTGGGATTACAGGTGTGCGCTACCACACCCCGCTAACTTTTGTATTTTTAGTAGAGATGGGGTTTCACCACGTTGGCGAGGATGGCCTTGATCTCCTGACCTCGTGATATGCCCGCCTCAGCATCCCAAAGTGCTGGAATTACAGGCGTGAGCCACTGCGCCTGGCCAGAATCAACATTTTTATATTTTTATGGATCCCCAAAGAATTTTGAGACACTTCTATAGTTTGCCTCCCTAACCTTTTAAATCATTGTTTTCAGTAAAATACAGGAGTATACCCATGTACTCAGGGCCAAGAGAAAAAGAATAGTGTAAGAAGTCCCATTCGATAGGCATCTGTATGGTTCAGCACTGCAGTGAGAAATTCTGAAAACAGTAAATTTCCCGAATAGAACTGAGGAGATTAACCCTCTTGGAGTCAGCATAGTAACAGAATGCAAAAATCACATTAGTTGTTAGGTGGACTGAGAAAAAATAAAAACACTTTTATTTTATATTGCTTTCTTTTTTAAAAGGAACAATATGGCAGGGCTATTTAGAAGCCTCAATGTGATTCATTTAGTCAGAAAAGAGGGTGTTAAGGCAATGAGTGAAGAGAAACCCAGGAAAAGGAGACAACTTTTCTATGTAGACTGGAGAGTGCAATTCAAAGGGTCCTCTTCAAAGGCTTTATCCTTACTGCAAATGTTTTAGGACTGATTGTACCCTCCTTTTCCTAGCACAATTGTTTACACAATTTAATTTAAAATGTAAAAGTTTATCTATTTATTTATCCAGGGGATACTTTAGCCCATCTCGACCCAGCCCTATTACTAACACTTACCTCTGACACAACCTCATCCAGCTGCCGCTTCAGTGTTCCATTTTCTTTCTTCAGTTGCTCATTCTCTGAAAGGGCAGCCTTTAATCTCGCCTCTAACCCTAGCATATATTCTTTCTTCTTCTTGCGAGACTGACAAGCAGATTCTCGATTTTTTATCATACGTTGTTGTCTCCTTAGCACAGCAATCTAGAAAAAGTTACAATGAATCAGAATATCCTGGTTTTAGAATCAGATGAAATAGATCAGAATATACTAATTTTTACAATTATTTTTAACTGTTTTTTCAAAGCACAGGTTACTAGTTGTTTCAAAACAGGTTTGAAAAAACACTGCTCAAACTAAATATGTTAAAATCAAATGGTTAAATAAGGCCTTCTAAAACCCAAATGTTAAATAATTTCCTCTGATGTTTTCTAAGGCTCATGTATTAATCTTCTAATTTTCCCCTTAGAAACTCCCTCAGAAAGTATCTTTAAATATATACGCATATATACATACATCTTAAATCTACATCTCTGGCCCTGAAATGGCTATGCCCCAGAACCATATATTCAATTAATTATAAGACCACTTCTACTTACACAGTTATTACCACTTCAAATCCATTATGTGCAAACTGAACTCACTATCTCCCTTTAACTAGATTTTTAAAAAATCTATCCATCTTCTATCAATAGTAACTTCTATCAATAATATTATTTTTCTTTATTCACTATATTCAGTCCTTCTCAATCCCTCATTCACTCATTGAATATGTTAAAAGTATATACTAATGACCAAGTTTACTCCAGTGAAAATGTGTCTCAGTTATTCCTTTCTCTCTATTCCCTCTTCCATTCTCCTAATACAGGCACTCATTAACTCATCCCTGTACTACTGCAACAGACTCCTATTTCAATTGTTTTCCATCTCATCCTGTCTACCATTTCTTAGATAACTTCTCCCAAGAAGATATTTTTATCTTACTACTCAATTGCAAAAACAAGCTAGTCATATACCCCTGCTACCCATCTTTTCTTTTAAGGTCTTCCATATTGTGACCTCCCACTGCCTAACCAGACCTTCTGCCCTAAATCTACAGCTATTCAAGCCACATTCCTCCAATCTTATCATTTACGGCTACTCCATAATCTCCATACATGTCTAACTTGTTTCGTTATTCACATAGTTTATTTCCACTTGGAATGCTATCTCCTCCACTAATCTAATTCCAAGGCCCATTCAAATTCAATTATTCTAACCCACCCTTATTTTTTATTTTCTCTGAACATCTTATACCCTTAGAATTTGGAGGATACACTGGAACACTCTAATGCTCTCAATTGTTTCAAGAATGTTAACTCTCTCTCTCTTTCCCCACCTGAATTTTATAAGTTGAAAGCCAAACCACATCTGATCCTACTTTTTTGTAGGATATACCAACAATATCTACTACAATAGAAACTTACTGAGCGAAATTATTTTTGTTATATCTTCTAAATTAAGTTATGAAGCCTATTATTACACATTAGTCTAATTTCTTTGGGGAAGTGAGAGAGGTGGCAAAATTAAGTCCATAAAAAGCACCAACCTACATTAAATTGATTAGTATGAGTATACGGATGGCTGCATTACTAATTTCTACATATTTTGCAATAGACTTTAAAAAGTAACACTCTAGAATGTTCAATAACTCTTACTGAGACCAGTAAATAAAGTTAAAGAACGTAATCTATTTCTTTTAAAACGACAACACAATTCCCACCCTGATACTACATTTCCTAGAAAGAAAAGTATGCCAAAGTCAACCAAGTGAACTCCCAACACCAAATATTTTCAACAACCTTTAAATCAGAACCCACAAGGAAAAGAAATGTTACATGAAATGTCAAAAAGGGCGTTTTTTATTTAAACTACAAAAATCCTGATTTTTATGAAACCATCATCTGTAAAAATTTCCCTGCATAATAACTATCTCACTTGTAAGTAATGCTAAACACACACACACGCACACACACTCACACACTCACACACGCACATACAAAGAGCAATGGCAAAGCCATGATGGATTGATTATTCACCAAATGCAAACTATTCTCTGGACAATGCCACTTTGTTCAGTCTACTTTTATTTGTAGTGATCTTCATTGTTACTTAGAATGCCAGTGTCCGTAATTAATACTAGAGGGCTGAAGTACACAGAACACTGAACAGGGACATAAAAGTGAAAGTCCCCAGATGGAAGAGTTTATACTAAAAGTTAGACAAAAGGCAACCTTACTTTAAAGGCTAATTAATCTGTGGAATTTAGAGGGGCTTACAGATGGCATACCATTTAATAAATTTCAAACAAGGATTAGGCATTTCTATAAACAATAAAAGCACCTGCATATTACACAGCATTCAAGTTTCAAAGGCTGTCAATCCACGTGCCTCATACTAAAAAAATGAAAACCATCTGTGGTCAAATATTCATGTCCTCCCATAGAAAAAGATACATTATAATAGTTCTGAAAATAAATATTCAACACTACCAATAAATACAGAGGGTAAAGACAGTAAAAATAAATGAAACCCACAGCAATCACCAAACACAGGGCTCCAATGTTTTATCTCAGCAAGCCATCTTCAGCTATCTGAATATAAAATATTTAAATTATTCTATACTTCCTAGGCAAAAAAAAAAATATGATCTTTAGGCTAAATACACATACACATTGTGGTGTCTGGTATTTCTTTAAGCAGGGGGAAAGTGGGTATTTTCCTATATAAGAAAAAAACGATTACACTGTATGTAATTCTGTTTGGTAAACTGCCTTTGCACATACAATGTATCACAATGACTTCTGACATGCAATAATGGCAGCACAGATTTTCAATTATCTTGATGTTTCATAATACATTCAATTAATCTCCTCTTGTTGAAATTACTATAGTTTTCGAGATTCTTTAAAATAAGCCTCATCATTTAATCCACTGTTAAGAGAGTAGAAGAGCCAAGGCTAGAACTTAGGTCAGTTGACTCCAAGTCCAGTGATACTTACACAACAGCTTCAAACTGCTTTTAAATACCAAATAGAGAGGCTTCATCACAGCCTGGAACTCTAACCTCAGAGAACTGTGTGGTTACTTTAATTATGCGCCTGTCTGAAAACAGAGACTTGTGGAACTGCTTGCATCTGGAAGCCTCATCTCTCTGTTAGCAATCTGAAAACACAAAATCAATACTCTGGCCCATTAACCAATTGACACATCTCCCTTATGGGCATATCAGATGATATAATACAGACTGAAATAAGCAGATAGCTGGCCAGTTCCTGCTTCTGATCATCCTACCTCCAGACAACTCTCCCACCAGGCATCTTGCCTCGGAAAAAGTAAAAAGAACAAAAGAAAAAAACTCCACGGCTGCAAAATAGTTTCCTTTTAGTGCCACTGCACTATAAAATGTAGTGTTTCATTTAGTAAACACTTATTTGACTGTACGAAAGACTTATATAAAAGGAAAACTTTCACAAATGGACAAGCTCCTTTGAAGGCTGCATCAATGTAAGAGTCAAAGTTTCAAGTACGTCCACATTTTGTTTTTAATTTAATTTTTTGAGACAGAATCTCACTCTGCCACCCAGGCTGGAGTGCAGTGGCACAATTACAGCTTACTGCAGCCTCAACCTCACAGGTTCAACAGCTCCTCCAGCCTCAGGCTCCCCAGTAGCTGGGACTACAGATGCATGCTACCGTGCCTGGCTAGTTTATATTTTTGTAGAGATAGGATCTCTCTATGTTGTCCAGGCTGGTCTTGAACTCCTGGGCTCAAGCAATCCTCCTCCTGCTTCAGCTTCTCAAAGTGCTGGCCCAGCTTGTTTTAATCTAATTATCAATTTAATTTAAGGTTTTAATTTTAAAAACCTTATTGATTGATAAACACTGAAAGCTATGATAGTCTCTTTTTATTAACAAAATTCACTAAAGCCTTGTTTCTGTGATGTCGCTAAGAGATAAGCTCAATTACTATAAATCAAATTAGATATAATATTAGATAGGAGTCAGGAGTGGTGGCTCACACCTGTAATCCCAACACTTTGGTAGGCTGAGGCAGGAGGATCACTTGAGGCCAGGAGTTTGAGAACAGCCTGGGAAACATAGGAAGACCTCGTCTCTATAAAAATAAAAAATTAGCTGGGCATCGTGGTGCACAATTGTAGTCCTAGCTACCCTGGAGGCTGAGGCAGGAGAATCACTTGAGGCCAGGAGGTTGAGGCTGCAGTGAGCCATGATCGCACCACTGTACCCCAGCCTGGGTGACAGAGTAAGAGCCTAGCTCCAAAAAAAAAATTAAAATGGGATTTTTATGCTAAGAAATACATTCGAGTATTTCACGTAAATTCAAGTCAGATCAAGTATCGATAACCTATGGATGAATCACACAGTAATCACTGACTTGCTGCACATCTTTCTAACAGTTCTTAATCTCATTTGGCTGAATCTTGCCCTCTAAACTGATAGATAAAGTGGAAGCCATTACTGATTAACCTCTTCACTGTATCTGATCAAAAATAAAAATACAATCTTTCAATTAAATAAAAATTACATAACATACATTATTGCATATGTATTACAGTAAACATATTTATAGATACATTATTAAAAAACACATATAGTTAAAATCATTGACAAATTTAATTTGTGGCAATCCTTAAATATTCAAATACATTTAAAAACTTAACTTGATTTTTGTTAAGAATCTTACGTACACTTCTTTTTTCTCATTAAATTGTTTAAAGCCGAAAAAAAGAGAAAATTTAGACTTCCACTTTCTCTACTCTTCTCAATCTCATGACAGTCAAAATTTTATTTTACTCTTTCTATTAAGTTTTGTGTGTATGTATGCATATAACCAGTTCCCATTTGCCAAAAATTAAAGAAGCTTCATACTGGCAACCTGAACCATTTATTTGGCAGATTATCAAGGAGATAATCTTCATCCTGCAAACTATTTCCTTCTAATTTTTTAAATGAAGAATGCCTTCTGATATGTAGTATAATTTCCAGGATGAGAACAGATAACAGACAAAGTCCCTGCCAGATTGTAGGATGGGGCTACCCTACCAATCTCATCTTCTGAATGAAGGTAAAGACCAACCAAAAGAGAGGTAAAAGCAGGAGTATGCACCACATGCTCTTAGGAAAGCCACACCATGGGCACA